AGCTGGTTTGTTTGGCGACCACCGAATGTATACGCAGACTTGCTCACCCCAGAAACACACATTTGTACACACGGAACCCTCCTTGGAATCTTTGACCCCGTCGCTTGCGCCAATAACTGCCAAATGAAAATATATCTGTCCGCAAACACACCGCCGGCTAAGACACTCACTATTTCTTATTTCTTATTCTTCCTTTGGGATTCATTCATTTTTACATTGAAATATTTCATTTTTAATTTTGTCTTGTGGGACAATTAAGTCTCAATAATTACAAAGTATTATTAATAATTTTTAATAAAGAAAAAATAATCTTAAAGGCAAAACGTTATTTTGAAGAATTTAATCATTTTGAATCAATATAAAAAAAAATTTTATATTAAAAAACTGTTCAGATTAATTTTTTTAGTGTTGATACTCAAAGTAGTGGTGAAAAAGTGGATAAAATAATTGAAAGCTCTCACGTGAAACAATTTCAATATTTTGAGAGGTTAATATTAAAAGTTCCGTAGTAAAAAATCTAACAAGAACAAAATTTTCAGATGCAAGCAGTTCCTACAAAGGTGGCTGGAGTCACGCCACTTCACCGGGTCCCGGCCAGGGTAAGTAAACTCAAAATCCATTACTCACTAAAACCTTGCTGAAGATCGTAAAAAGGCTGATGTTTTAGCATTCCGGTCCTCGAAAACATGCAAACAATAGCAAAGAGGAATTTCAGTAGCGATAACAATTGGATTGGGCGAGAGTTTAACTCTTACTCTGAAGCTTATCAGCCTCAAAGTGGCTCACTTTGGTTCAGTTGGTCCTTTAAACGAACCTTTTATTTAACTTTATCTGCCGACAGTTCTCCATTGAGCGGACTAGATCTATGGTCGGCTATTTTCACGCACATTCAACATTTTCATATTCTTCGGTCTGGAGCGGCGAGCGCTCATAGACCGTGAAAATAAAAAATAAAAAAGTAAAATAAAAATAGAACGTGTAGGTGCAGATACGAAACAGGGCGTGGGCGTCCCGGCGCTTTGTGGCGCGTTCAACCGCGGCCCCTTTGTCGTCCTCAGCCCCGGGGTGTCTGATATATACTCTTTGTGCTCTATATATATACAGACACCTTCAGTCAGCAGCAGTGCCAGCAGCAGGAGTGCAAGTAAACCGGAAATTCACCTCTGACTCTACCAGAGACAATCATCCGAAGATCAGAGCCGTGCCCGCGGGCAGTTATAAACGGCTTTTGCTTCTGCTTATTCTTCCACTCTCCCCCTTCGACCCTCAGGTCGCTAAAGGACCTTTGACACCGGTATCTTTGCATTGGCACCCAAATCCCTTTGGTCTTCCACCGCGACGCCCAACGAGGTTATAAACCGCCTCAGGCCATCAGAATATCACCGCCATGGACAGAGGTGTCTTCAAACTATCACCGAGATTTAATTTTTACTTCAAAACACCAGTAATATCCTGCGGTTCGCTTCAGCAATTTACAAACGGTGATTATAAACGAAGAAAAGAGAAAGAGAAGCTGTGTGACAGCTGCTACGAAAAGTTTTGATTATGGGTGTAGGGTTTGTATTGATCAATGACAGCGGATATTTTTGAAATTGATCATTTTAGAGTTGATGTTTTTTTGCTCATCAGTACACAGAAAAATTTCATCTTCTTGATTTGAGTAGAAAAATTCTTAAACTAAGAAAGTTTTCTTGGTTTAAGTAAATTTTATTTAATTAAAGAATTTTTCGTTTTGATTGAAGACAATTAAACTCTTCAAAGTTATTTTCTTGGTTTAACAATTTTTCTCTTGAATCAAGTTAATTTTTTTTTCAGTGCACTTTGGTTTGTTATTTTGGATCTAGATTTAAAGCTTTTTTTTAACGGAAAATCAAACCACCGAATCTGTTGTTAAAAAATCTAAACATAAAATAGGAAATAGAAAGCAATGAGGGTAGCGTGCATGGATTTAAGTTATTTTTGAGTTGGTGGAATAGGGGGGCACGCCAGTAAAGATAATTACCAGCAATAACGCGTGTGTTATAACCTCAGTTCTGTTTATGCTGTTGTAGGACCTGAAACCAGAAGTAAGGGGTAGTGGGTAGTGGGTAGCCTCTACTGTATCGCGTGACTATCTTTTAGTCGACTTTTGATCGGAACCCACCTCACCTTGACACCCTGGCTAATAACTACTCCAAACATTAACACGTATGTTAAAGGAAGGAAAAAGTGTGAGTGTGCAAGGCAGGGGCGCCTACTATACTGGCCAAAGACGAATCATGACCCCTGTTAAAAAGTTAATTGTACGATAGTTTATTATTTTTTATCACGTGTGTTCCTTTATTTGGCTTTTATATCCTACTCAAGTGGTTTTACGCTTTCGTTTATTAACAATCTATATACTTGGCTGTGAATATATAAATGTGAATAATAAATTAATAAAGAATTGATGAAGAATAAAATCGGGAAACAATTCTTGAAATTTGCCGACAAAAAATGACATAATTAGCTCATTGTTATTTTTACGACTTCTGACTCGTGACTGCTCTCTCGTGTTAGGAAAAAAAACAGTCGAGCAAGAGGAGAAAAGGCTCGATCGGTGATTGCCGAAGCGTGTAGCATATTGGTACGAGGAAATAAACCGAGGCGCATGAGAAACAGCTTCAACATTTATATATATATATATATATATATATATGTCCATAGATATAGATATAAAGGGAAAAGAGAGTTATCGCACAAGTATCGTATCGTATCGTATCGTATCGGGAATGACAGAGAATGAGAAGGAAAAATGGGTCTCTGTCCTCGGTTTAGCGGTGGCTACTCAACCGAGCAAGAGTGAAAGAGAGGAACAAGTAGGATACACGCCGCGGGGGTCTATCGCCGCTTATATTATGTCTTTGGTAGTACATACACGGTCACGTGCCTATGCGTGACACGTTCACGCATCGTCGACCGGGTCGGGACTCCCCCGAACGGAACTGTTCGAAGCAACAGAGTACAGAGTACAGTATTATATCGCTTATTCTATTCCACTCTACTCTTATTCACTACACACATTACACTTTACACTCTACACTCTACACTCTACATTCTAAATTCTAAATACTTGAACGGGATTTCTACGCTCTGACTTGACTTTTATTCTGTTGTTCTTTTTCCGCCGGCGAATTTATATTTTTCACCGAAATTTCCCTCTAAACTCTATTGTTTTTTTTTTTTTTTTTCGATAGAACCGGGCGGTAGTGTAGCACAAGCACAACAATAGCTTGAGGGATGAGGGAAAAAGTGTCGGAAAATATCCACGAAATTTAGCATAAAATCAAAGTTGCCCGGCCGGAACAATCACGGGGTCACGCTACCCGCCACCGACTATCACCTGGCCACCGCTGACCTCACCGGGCGTTTAGCATAAGGGTGGGCCAAACCTCGCGTGCATACACCGGAATAGATTATGTATATGTATATATGGAGAAAAATAGTGAGAAAGAGGGCGAAATTTATGTCCTCGGGCTAGATAGTACACCCACAAACCAGAGGACAGAGCTCACAGCTCGGTGCTTGTGCGTGACTGCCTCAGCTACAACCTCTACTATCTCTATCTGCCTCCTCATGGAATATATTAGCTATTACTATTTTATGTATATATACACACACGCTGCACTAGATTCATACACGTCTGGAGATACTCCAGATTATTGTTTCCTTTTGAGTCAGTAATGATGTTATTATGCACGGAATTATTATTATTACTTGATGTCTTTCGATCCCAACTCTCTCCAAGCTTTTTATCATCTGTTATTTATTAGTTAGTCTCTCGGTATCGTTTATTATTTATCATGTGTTGTTTAGGAAAATTGATTGAAAAATAATGACATTTATTAACTACAAATGAATATTTATCATCAGTTTTCATAAACATAATAATTTATTCCGATTAAAATAATAATAAGGACCTTTTTTTTTTTTTATAGATGATTAAATTTTCTATCGAAAATTATAATAAATCTTTTTATCAGTATACCAAAAGTGAGTTATTAGACAACTTGAAACATACAAAAATTTAAAGATACTCAACACTTAATTCGCCATTAAAGTCTGGAAAAACGACAAAAGATTAAGCCATAGTCCTTGTATATGTAACTGTTGGATGTGTGATAAGCGAGCTCGCAGCTTTTACAGCCACAAAACTTGAAACAGCAGAGTATTTTTTGATCTTGAGTCTCAGCTCGGTGGGTTGCGTGTTTTGTAATAGTATATAGAAAAGTAGCATAAGCAGCAGCGTTGGGAGTAGAAAGCGTCTGAAGAGTGCGAGAACGGAGCTAGAGAGCCAAGTAAAGTAAAGTATAAAGAATAAAATGTATAAAGACGGTGGCAAAGGCTCCTTTGATCCTCTGTCTTTGCTCTTATTTTATTTTTTATTTAATGCTCGGTCGCTCAGTGAGTAAAGGCTCCACATGTGATATGATGGGAATATCTGAGAAAACGTGGTTGTAACCCTGGAGTGCATGGGGTGGATTGCTCTAGTGCCGTAACGGGATTACCCCGCCTAGAGTAATTGCTTGTGAATGCCCAGATACTCCGACAATGCCTGCTTACATGTCTACAGACAGAGTCAATTTTACTTTCTTTATTTTTTTGGATTACACATTTGAATTGCAGACCTCGAGCTAAAAAATTCTTCAGGGTGAATTCCAGAGATTTAATAAATTGTATAAATTATTCGACGGGTCTGAGACCTCATGGTGATAGCGACAATCAACAAGCAATCCAATTGTTTGACCTGCCGACACCAACTGCTACTTAAGGAGCATCTGTGACAACAGACAATGCCGTAGGGTTATTTCATGTCGCTTGGGATTTCCAGCTTGTTATTTTATTTTTATTACTGTCATTTTGACAAATCAACTCGTCAAAAAATTAAAAAAAAAATTCACTTATAATTGATTGATTGATTATTATTATTATTATTATTATTATTATTATTATTATTATAAATAATAACGAGGAGTTAAAAAATGCAACATGCGAGTAGAGATTATAGAGTATATAAATACAAGTAGGTATTTGATGAGTGGGCTGGCTTGCAAAAGCTTTTAGCGGCAATTATTTCTCGAGATTTGCTGTGAAAACGGTGAAATAAAAGCCAACTGATGAAGACGAGAAGAGGAGGTTAATCGAGCAGAGGAGAGTTTAGTTGGTATACTAGTATTATCAAGCAAAGATAGAACAGACGTGCCTCGTTTAGGGGCCAGGGGAGAAGGGGCTAGGTTTGTTTGCCTACACGAAAATCCTCTCTAACCGATTCTAACGCTCGAGCGGTTAAACTCGCATCTTCCATCTCTCACCTCGGCAGCGGAGCCTCGGAGTTAGGCTGAAATTCTAGCTCTTGATCCTGCCGAGCCCTTTATCGCATTTTCCTGAAAATTTACAGACTATTTTTTACAAACGGCACTAACGAGTGGACTCAAGACTCAACACACTGTTTGACCTCTCGTCAGCCGTCTATTGATTTTTTATTTTATTATATTATATTATAAAAGGATTTTTTATTTTTAGGCTATGGAGGCGGATTGTCGAAATCTGCTCTTGACACACATTCACATCTACGACAACCTGGTGAGTTTGTTTTTTTTTTTTTTTTTTTTTTTTTTTTTATTGTACTTTTTGTTTCTAGCATTATTAGCAAAAATAAAATTCATGGAAAAATTAATCAATATAAAATTAAAGAGAAAGAAAAATTCTTGTGATATCTTTTACCCTCAGCAATCTACGCAAGTTGTACGTGAAACATGTTCGCTCGTTATTGCCTCGTAAATGAATTACCGTTCGATCAGCTAGTGGCTACTGATCGACTTTCCCTCTACACAACAAAAACATAACGTCTGGTCCGTGTCTCCATTAACGACTACAACCCAAATATATAAAAGCATAAGATTTATCTTTATCCATCCAGAGTATAGAGAATGAATTTTCCCCTCGATTGTTGTTGATCCGAATCCTCAACAAATTCGACTGTTCTTTTCTCAGCAGTCTTGTCAAAAATTAACAACAATTACGAGCACCCTTTAATAGTAATAAAATAATAATGATAATAATAGTAATTGTGATTGTTAAAACAATTATTGGTCTGAAGTTGTGAGTGCATTAGCGTAGGATTAATCTCTCTCTCTCTCTCTCTCTCTCTCTGTCGAATTCTCTTTCAATTGAAATTATTATGATCCAAACGAACTCTCTGTTCTATTGTGGGGGTTGCGATTATATCCTTTGTACAAGTCGCTCTAGGGTCCTTCATGAACTCCACGGTAGTAAGCGACGCTGATGACGCATTGTAAAGCTCTCAACCGAGAGAACTAACGTCCTAACAGACGAACAAAACAGATACTGAAACTGAAATGAAACAACGCATTTCTCCATTTTTATTCTCTCCTTTTTCCCCACTGGTATTTTCGTGTTCTCGCCTCCCTTACACGCTTCCTATCCAGACTACTCGCTAAACCGTGTAACTGTGTAATAAATAATAAATAGGTAGATCATGTATATTTCAAGAGACTTTATAATATGTGGTTTTTGATCGAGTCTCTTCAAGCTTACACCCTTCTCAATTTAAGTCTCGTTTTTCACCATCAGCAAATCATTCAATTAATTTACAAATTGACTTAATAATTTTTTAATATTCAATTAATGGATCATTTATAAAATAAAATTTACTAATAGTTCCATGGCTTTTATTAATAATTAAAAATTTTCCTTTGTTACATATTTATTTGTTTACTCTAAAATGTAGATCCATATCAAATGTTTGGCGCAACGAGCAGCAGACTGGCGTCCTCGGGGTCTGGGCAAATCCAGCTCTGGCAATTTCTTCTAGAACTTCTCTCAGACTCGAGCAACGCAGCGTGCATCACCTGGGAGGGCACAAACGGGGAGTTCAAGCTCACTGATCCCGACGAGGTCGCGAGACGCTGGGGCGAGCGCAAGTCTAAGCCCAACATGAATTACGACAAATTATCTCGAGCGCTCAGGTAATTGCAATTCCCTTTCCATTAACTATTAACGCTCTAATTCCCCGCTAATAATTTATACACAGACATATTTTGTTCCCGGTAAATAAAATAAAATAAAATTTCATTAACGATTATTAAAAATTAGATTGGAAAGGGACAAATTTCAATCACGAAACAGTTGCTGAAGAGTAAATACCTTGGCAAAATGTTGTCGTACATGAACCGAGCGATCGGTATGAAGGCGGAGGCGCTATTATTTTTCGATCAGTTTCCCCGATTGGATTACCCACCCGTCGCGTTCCTTTCCATTCTCTCTCTCTCTCTCTTTTATCAATAATTCCTATCCATCATTCGATATAGATATATTGAGCAAATTTATATAACGTATTTTCATTCTCTATTTCATTTCCATTTAATCTTTTCATCATTTTATTTTTAACGATTTGTAACAACAATTACATTTTTTATTTTTCTTCAGAGTTTTATCATTTATTTAAAATAAATTTTTTATTACTGCAATTGATAAAAAAATTTATTTTACATTTTTAATCTAGTTAATTTTTTATCAGAATAAATAAATTAAAAAAATAATGGAAATTGTCGGTGGTTAATTTGCAGGTACTACTACGACAAAAATATAATGACAAAGGTGCACGGCAAGAGGTACGCGTACAAGTTTGACTTCCAAGGACTAGCTGCGGCGACACAACCGGCGGCAGCGGACCCCGCAGCGTACAAGTACCAGAGTGAGCTCTTTATGTCGGGGTACGGGCACGCGAAACTCAATCTAATGCCTCCCCCGGCAGCTTCGGTGTCAGTTTCGGTCCCCGGTGGTCTTTTCCAGTCGGCCTCCAGCTACTGGAGCAGCCCAAGCGCGAATCTTTACGCGGGGCACCACACTGCGTCGGGACACGTGCCTCCTCATCTCGGCACTTACCCCCATTACGCATGACCCACCCCCGAGCACTGGGGGGCTCTCGGTACGCCGCGTTAAAGCCTACAATATATAACAATTTTTATTTTATTTTTAATTTATACATATTTAATTAATATATATATATATATATATATATCAAGGGTTTCAAGGCTGGTGTGCTTTTTATGGGTGATTTATTTTTAATTATTATTTAAGCTTTAAAAAAATTTTTCAAAGCTCTAAATTGTATTTTAAATTCTAAAATTTTAATTTTATCAGTTGAAAATTAATTTTCAAGCTCGTATGAATTTTTTTAATGACAAAAGACATTGACAAAAAAAAATAAAAGTCACCTTAGTAGCACACACCTGAGAAACAATATAAAACCCAAATTTAAGGTAATACTCATTCCCCATGTTATCTCCCGTGCCATTAAAAAGTCGTGCCATACACAACCGGTCCTTAAACACATCAATTTGTAAATATAACAAAACAAATAATTGAATAAATAATGTCCAGGCACTCTTTATTTATCATGGCTCCAGTCCAAGTTGTAGAGTCACCACTTGCCCTCTACGACGTCTACATATACATATAAATATGAAAATATAAATAAAAATATATATATATATAATATGAAATAAATAGATAACAACAGTGAGAGTTGTAACTATAATCGTAATTTGCGATACTCGGATAATCGTAATCGCGGAAAGGACAATTGAAATCGGTGAATCGGGATTGATTGACAACACAATGGATACAATTGAGTGTACTCTTCGTCTGCGTTTGCATGTCTTGATTCACTAATTTTTAATCCACACTTTACACCCTTGCGATAAATTTCTTCGACAGTCTTCTGCTCGAGTAATATTTTAATCTAAATTAATATCAATATACTTGTGGTTCCATTACATGTACATATTACATATACAGTGGATTAACATATATATAACTTTTTATTATTATTATTATTATTATTATTATTATTTTGGTTTAAAAATAATCAAAGCCTCCATTTGGTAGCTCCGTCGGCGACTGATTTCGCGTGGACTTTGACGTGTAAAAAATTAAGACAGTTAATTAACTAACTCTAATTATTTGAAAAAACAAAATTGAGATATAAATATTTAAACTCGAGTTTGTAAATAACCACCGTTAGAAAACTTGTATTGTATTTAAATAAAATATTAGGACGTGGGAGTATGTAATAAGTCTGTATCATAATAATTATATATTATAATGGTTAAAACGTATCGTTTGTAATTGTAACGACAATGATATAATATTAAATAATAAATAAAATCATTAGGATTTAGTTAATATAAGAGGTGTAGCTGCCAGTGGAACTAAATCGGTCGCTTGGGACTGAAAGAATAATAAAAATAAAAAGACCGTGAAAAGTCTCTGGGGATGCAAACCGTTATGTAGATAGGACCTTTACATCTGTAATGTGTAATGTCTAGTTATTATTTACAATTAGGTTATATATATAGCCTCATCTAGTCTATAGTTGTATTTATGCTAATGTTAATGTTAATGTTAATAATATAATGTGTGATGGAAAAATGTTGATATTATTAAAAGGTTTGTATTTAAATGTTGTTTTGTTTAAGTTAACCGTTTATTTATTTATTTATTTATTTGGAAAATTTTTATTTCAATTTAAATATTTATTAAAGCTCCTTAAATTAATTATTTATTTTAAAAATTTTATTAAATCTTCCAGAGCTTAATTTGCAATTAAAAAATTGTTAAATTTTTAGTTTATTAGTTTAGATAATAACTACACCTGTTAATAATTTGTAAATTAAAAAAATGAAATATCAAATAAAAGCCTAATGATTCGAAATCTGTGCACAATATCACAATTTTAAAAAACTAATACTACATAAATGTACCTCCGATAACTAGTTAGACGATTGAAATTTGTGTAACAAAAAGAAAACCCGAAAATTCAGATTTAACTGAAACTAAAACTAAAAAAAATGAAAGAATAATTAGCAGGAAAAGTAAGAGGGTTAGTGTGTAAAGCACATTCGGTACTCCATATTCCAATTAAGGGAGCTTACGGTGGTTGTATCAGCCGGCAAAATCAATGTCAGTACAACATTATAAGTCTGTCTTACCCCCTCTATGGTGTACAATGTATATAAGTCGAGAGAAAGAGGGAAAGAGAGGGTAAAATTAGCTTGCAGTGGGTTGGCGAATTGTTCTGGTTGCTATGGCAAAGCTTGCTACCGAGGATTACACGGGGGAGGGTTGCTGTCGGTGGTGGTGGAAGAGCTTGCGATAAAGCTGGCTTGTGTAGGCGGTACCAAAGGGAAACCCTCATTCTCATTCGGGAAATTCGTCGCCCCAATCCTCCCTTAGATTAAATATTCCGAGAATAAGGGGAATAGAGTGAGCAAAAGGAAGACACTCTCACGCCCTCTACTGTCGGCGTCAGCTAATCGATTTTGCTACCAATCAGAGTCCATGTTTGCTGTTAACTCTCAAATAGAAAAGAAAAGGCAAAGAGGATTAACTAATCCTTTAGTTTTTAGTTTTTTAATTATTATCAATCTTTTCACCATTACAAATATTATTATATATTATAAAAGTTGTATATATATATATTTATCGATAACGACTTTTATTCTAATAAGTATTAACTATTGTATTTTATTATTGTATTGAACTGTATTATGTGATGTAATAATTATGTATTATTATTATTATTATTATTATTATTAATTATAATAAGAAAAATGTAATGATGATGAGTAATTATTGTGTGGATGTGTTGGAAAACTGCTGAGCGGAATCCAATTCGAGGATTGCGAGTATGTGGTTTTGATTTATATATCTATATATACATATTGTCTACTAATATATAGATCTATATATGTATATTTAAGTGCAATAAGCTGTTTATGGATTTAAATATCGACAACCCTTGGCGGACAATAAAATTCAATGGTATCCACTTTTATTTTTTATTTCTCCTTTCCTTTACTGTTTTAAGTAACTTATTTTTATCAAAAGAAGAGACTTTCAAGGAATCATTTTTTGAATTGATTAATTAAAAAAAAAGATTTTTAAGTATAATAAATATTTATTTGTTCCCTTATAAATAAATTAACCAACAACTGGTGTCTTATATAAATCAATATCGTCAAAATTGGTATCATGTTTAATATATTATATTTATTAAATACCCAAAGTCTAAAAAAAATATAAAACTTAATAATTGAGCATATAATTTACTTTTAGAAGGATAGTAAAAATATATAATATTGATAATTAACAAATTTATAAACGAGTTTCATAAATAGCAGCTCCGGCGCGAGGTTCGGTAACAAAAATTGCATTTTCTACGCAGTTAGTTCTGACTCCGCCGTTGAAAGTTCTCTGTCGCTGCTTCAGGTCATTCACGAAGGACTCTACTTTATCTTTGGTCGTCAAGGCGACAACGCAGCCTCCCCATCTGCAGGAAATAAAAAAAAAAATAAACAATTTCATTATTTTATAAAATAATATTGACGTCAGAAAAAATTACCCGGCGCCAGTAATTCTTGCTCCCAAGGCTCCGCACTCTAGTGCCATCTCCACCAGCAGATCCACGGACTTATGGCTGCATTGATAGAGATCGCGGAGGCTCTCGTGACTTTCATTCATTAACTTTCCCAAGCGGGTCAGCTGGTCGTCGTCAGAACTCTGACAGATACTTTTAAATTCGAGAACTCTCTCAGCCTCTGGAATAAACAAAATAAATTATCATTAAGTGACGACCTCGGGAGTTAAATATCGGAAGATCAGGAGAGAAGATACTTTAACCGTTAATTTAGTAAACTAGTACCGTTACGATAGCTAATAGATAATAATAACTCTGAAAATTTATCTCTAATAAAAGCCGAGTGTGGTAATTTATGGAATAAAACTCACCGCTGAGGACATGCTTGATCCGCTTGTACAAAGTCGGGTACTCCAGGAGGACTTTTTTAGCAATCTCCAAGGTCTCGGGCAACGAAGTCCCGAGCTCCTTCTGGAGGTCCCCGATTGTCTTCACCGCATCCCACTTTTCGAGCTTTTCTTTCGCAATTATTTGCGCAGCTGACTTGCATTCGCGGACGCGAGTGTTGAACTCAGACGTCGCGGCTTTGTTGCACTCCGCCAGGCTGTTTGCGATTACGAAGACCGCGTTTACCGGCAGCTTCACATCTGTCGTTCTCAGCGGGTTGAACTCGATCAGCTTTGCAGCACCTGAAGAATTTTATCATTATTGTTCGATCATTATTTTATAGAGGATACGTGAAATGTATTATAGATGTGAAACCTGGTTTTGCAAGAAATGCTATCGCTTGGTCCATCGCACCGCCTTGAGTACCGATGTGTCTCTCCGCTCGGGCACTTAACAACGCTAGATTTTTTTTTGACATTGTATACTGTAATAAAAAAAAAATCGTTTTTGTAAATTAGTTGCTTGCAATGATGAATAAAAAATATTTTTAATTAATTAAATTTCTTGTTGTCATTTATTTGATACTTTATTCAATTAATTTATTTAATTATTAAGTATAAGTTATTATTTTTAAATTTTGAATCCAAATTTCAACTCTCTAAAATTCTGAAATATTATTTAAACCTTCCTGAAGTAAAACTGAAATAATTTCCAATAAAAAATAAATCATTAAGCTCTTTAAATATGATAAAACATCAATAATTTAAACTCTTGATTAATTTACGTCGATTAAATGCAATAAATCTTGAAAAGTATGTAATTTATTATACAAAGCATACTCACTCCAAACGTATGAGTCATAGCGAGCACTGCAGATGACACAACTGCACTGGAGCTCGATAAACCCGACGCCGGTGGAATGTTTCCCCAAATAGCGACGTTAATACCCTGACATTTATCCTCCGGAATCTCTTCCAAAGCTCCGACGACTCCACATATAAAATATTTGTACCAATGAGGCTCCTTTGACTTTGTTAAAACTTCCCTAAAAAAGCTCGAATTTTCATTTAAATTTTTGCTATTTGATCGCTAATTATCGTTTTAAATTACCCGCAATTAATCAGAGAGTCGCAATCATAGTCCGAGTATTTGTCAGTCTCAAGATTTGTCAAATGGAGCCCCGAGTCCGCCTTGCCAACCGCCAAAAGTACGTCTTGCTCAATTGCCATCGGGCATACTGAAAATCCGCAGTAGTCGACATGGTCTCCAATTAAATTAACACTGTAAATTATTATTTTATTTTGTTTAATAATTATTACATTATGATAAATAATGTAACTTACCGGCCAGGTACTCTTGTGAAAAACTGCGGTTTGTTGTTAAACCGTGACACGAAATGCTTGGTCAATTTGTCGAGTCTGTTGCTCAATATATCATCCGGCTTAAGAATTTCCACGGCCTCCATGTCTTCACACTTGTTCATCTATTTATTTAACAATAAAAAATTCAGTAAAAACAACAATATTAGATAAATAAAACAATGAGTCGTTGATAATAAAACATTGTTCTTAAAATAACTGACAATAAAAACTGAGATAAAGATTCTTATAAGTGCACAAACGCGTTGTTATTTCAAATTATCAAGAATTTTTTTTTAATTTATTCAAGAAACCGCGGCAAAATTGATTGATTTTATGACAAGTACCAAAAATAATTGTCGGTTCAATTATTGATTAAAGGGCTACCGGAAAATATTGAGCCAATAACTCGTAAAAAAGTACTTACGATAATTACTAAGTTTTATTCTTCGGTTATATTAACCAGACTGGGTTGAGAACGGTCTTTTATTGATAAGAGACTTGTTATCAATGTTATTGAAACGTCGGTGTGTGTTGTTAAGTGGATACTGATTTACATGACCGTGACAAGCGTTATGCGCGAGCAAGATGCGCGAGGATTAACTATTACAGCTCATGCGCTGAAATAACCGGAATATTTTTGAAGGTATATAATCTGGGTGGTGTAAATTAAAATTGAGAAGAGAAGAATTTCACAATGACTCGATTCAAAGCAAATAAATTCAATTATAAACAGGAAAAGTATTTTTTTAAAAGAAAAGAGTCTTCGATTGTTGATATCAAAGTAATGATGGTAAATCGGTATGTTACTGAGATCCGGTTAAGCAAAAGTAACGTGAAGAATGGTAACAAGTATAATATAAGAGAGTCGGTCGGTTAGGTAGAGCCAGAAAGTTTTATTGATGGTATTGTAAAGAGATATCATAGTTTAAAAAGGGAAATATTGACTTTGTTTGCTGTAGTTAATTTTATTCGCGACATTATGATTAATTTTAAGGAATAATTCTAAACTTTTTTATTTGAAATTTTATTTGAAACTAATACAAAATAATTTTAAATTATTTTACGTTTTACCGAATAATTAACTTATAATTACCTTGTTTCACCGTGAAACCCTTTGGAAAATGACAGCCTTCAGTCTTAAATCTACTTACAAGCTAATTATAATCTAATTAAAACTAAGCGGAGAGGGACAAATAAATAAAAAGATAGAATTTTTTTCATTAGGATGAAACAATTCGCTTTATTGAGGAAAAAAAGTAATTTTTTTTTTTTTTTAGCGTAATTCGGGTTTTATTTTGAGTCAAGTAGTACAAACTAAATTTAGTCAGACAGTAAATTTTTAAACATGACCCGGGTGTCTTTTTCTTAATCAAGTAGTATAAGCTACATTTGGTCATACGGTGAATTTTTTAGCATAACCCGGGTGTCTTTCTTGAACCAAGTAGTATATTATAATTATAGTTAGACGCGATATTATTGCATAATCTATTTTAATTCTTGTATATTATCTAATAACTATTCTTTTTAATAATCGAACGATTGATTGAAACTTATTAAATTTTATCGATGCAATGTTTCAAGAAGCGAAAGAAAAAGTTGTTTAAGAATACTACTATTATTTAAAGACTCGACTTTTCTTTTACTTTATACTTTTTTATAATTATTAAATATATATTTCATAATTACCTTATTAACCTATGAGCTGCGCCAGGAACGTTGAAGTAATACTTAAATCTAATTACGAGTTACTTAAAATCTAATTAAAACTAAAGGTAAGGAATAAGTCAAATAATAAGACATAATTTATTCGTTTGGGCGAAATAATTCGCTTTATTAAATGGAAAAAAAAAAAAAAAAAAAAAAAAATACGCGACTGGGGAGCGGGACTGTGCGCATTTACCTACAATTAATATCGTTAACCGGTAACGATATTAATTGTACCGGCCTTTGTTTGGCTTCATAAGTCCAAACTTTTGGGAAACCCCAGGGAAACCTGGCCGACACAGCTTACATAGTTAGATTATCTTATTATACAGAGGTCTAATTATGTCACACAGCACACATCACACATACAAATTATCATCACACTCATACAATCACACAATAAACAATTTTATATCGGTATAACAATTGTTATTATTATTAACATTACTATAATTAATAGGGGTGGAAGTTAATGAATATGAACGGATGCTAAAACAGAAAAGGAATAAAATTATTAATATTGAGATTTAATATGCACAGGGATGATGTAATAAACAATAAAAATGAATGTTTTTGGAGCTAATAAATATAGGCACACTAGGATAAAAATATTTAAATAATATAATTAATTATGTTTGGGGTGAATAAATATTAGGGGTGCTGAAAAGAAATAATAATAATTATTATTATTATTAGTATTATTTACAGTAAAAAAGGGGTGCTGAAAGATAAGAATTATTATTATTAAAATTAATAAAAATCATTAATATGAATGAAAATTATTATTATTATTATTATTATTATTATTATTGGGGGTAAATAAATATGGGGACGCTGGAATATGAAATACAAATTAATGTTATTATTATTGGGGGTATGAACTATGAGGATGCTAGAATAAAAAATATAAATAAACGTTATTAGTATTATTTGAGGGTGAATAATTATTTGGACGCTGGAAATAAAAAATATTATTATTGTTATTATTAATGGGTGAATAGAAATATGAGGATGCTGAAATAAAAGAATATAGATAAAAATTATTATTAAAATTGAGGATGAGTAAATATGGGGGCGCTAGAATAGAAAATATTATTATTATTATTATTAGTATTATTTACGGTAAAAAAGGGGTGCTGAAAGATAAGAATTATTATTAAAAATTATTAATATGAATAAAAATTATTATTGTAATTGGGGGTAAATAAATATGGGGACGCTGAAATAAAAAATATTATTATTGTTATCATTTATGGGTGAATAGAAATATGGGGATGCTGAAATAAAAGAATACATAAATATGGGGGCGCTAGAATAGAAAATATGATTATTATTACTATGGGGGAGAAGGTTAAATAAATGTAGGGGTGCTGAAATAAAAATATTAATACATATTATTATTATTATTATTGTTATTATGGGGGCGGGGGGGGGTAAAATATACAGGGGTGCTGAAATGAAAGATATAAATAAAAGTTATTGGTATGATTTGGGGGTGAATAAAAATCGGGGCGCTGGAATGAAAAATTAAATTAATTAATTATTACTATTATTATTACAAGGCTAAATAAATATGGGGGCGCTAAAACAGAAAATATTATTATTCTTATTACTTGGGGGTAAATAAATACATATAGGGTTGCTGAAACAAAAAAATATTCATTAATATCATTATTATTATTAGTGGGGGGATTTAATATTCAGAAACTGAAATAAAAATATAAATAAAAATGAAAATTGAAATGAAAATAGTAATAAGGATACCTGATTGATATTTTTCCGTGGTCCTTTGTTGAATGTAGTTGCTCCGTTTCACTGGTCCTCCTTGTCCTTTAATCCTTGGTCCTCGTCCTGGAATCCTTCGTCCGTGGTTCTTTTTGGTCCTTTGGCTAGATATTCACATTGAATATCCTTGGTCCGCAATCCTCGAAACGTGGTCTTTGATCCATGGTCCTTGATCTTTGGTCCATCCATCTAGACACACATTAATCAATCACTGATTAGTATCTTCTTGTAATCACTTTCAACACTATTCACATTAACACTTTTAATCTTGAGTAATCCTTACTTTTTGGTCCTTGATTGTATTATTGAGTCCTGGTCTTTGGCTGAATCCTTTCGTCCTTGGTTTCCTGGTACACTTCCTGTAGAAACACACTAAACATACTGACTAGTAGCCCCCTTTTTATACCCTCTCGATTCTCGACTAATGATTTATTCATTCAAAATTACACTAATGACGGATAAAATCAATCAGCTCGAAGATTACTGATGTATTGAGCGTTGGGCCTCCGGTTGGCCGATCAATCAACCTCAAATCTCATCCCAGAGTCCGTATTGAACCCCACCGATCGGATGTTCGATGATATCAACGTGATAATGGATTGTCGACCTTGCAAAATGACTGCCAGGCCATATTGCTTGCTATCAAATTAGTTGATAAGCGGATCGTCGAATCGATTATCACGCCGAGAATCATCCAAAGATCCTCACGGCTGAATAATACTTTTCCGGAGTAAGAGGGAGCTGACGTCGAACCGCCCGGAGGGTTACGCTCGTATATCAGACTTTATCGAGGATAATTGATTCAAAACGGAAACGAACTAATGAAAAAGCTTGCGTTAATTATCGATATCAAAAGATGAGGTTGATGATGAATGCTAAATTGATTCATAAAACTAATAATAAAAAAAAAAAAAACCACACGGACAACGAATCGAATGTGAAGAGTAGTGTAAGATACTTTCGCGATTCGATTGTATGTGTCGGCGCGGTTAACTCTACTTTATTTATTAATTAACTAATTAAGAATGAAGCTAATACCGGTCTATGGATGTGTGTGTGTGTGTGTGTGTGAGTAAGTAGTCAGGGGGTTGTGAAGGGTGAAGAAGTGACTTTACTAGGCACGGTCAGTTCCCTATTCGCGTGAATCTACATTATATTTATTATTAAATTAATTAAAAATTGGGGTGAGGGGTTGGTAAGAGGTTGTATGTGTGTGTGTGTGTGTGTGTGTGAGGGTGAAGTAGAAGATAGAGACGCGACGCGAGCTGTAATAAAGAATAAGGGGAACCGCGAACCGCGAAATCAGCTCGATGGTATGCTACTAATTTTTATTATAAGCAAAAATACTAATCGCGAGCAAAACGAGAGAGTTAGCAACAAAATTACTTTATATATTTATGTATTATTGAATTAAAAATGCCGTTCGATGAATTTTAAGACTTGGAAACCAAAATAATTGATCAGAGAAGATTTAAAAGTAATTAAACCGTCACCCAAATCGCGCCCGGGCACTCAAGGGGTGAACATGCTTAATCACTAATGAATCCGCAAAGATCAGGTTTATTTTGTTTTCCCAGGAAGCTCTTATATGCCTGATGATGTTGCGCACCATCATCAAGCAACGAATCTTCGC